AGGTATGGAAGAGTTTACCAAAAAACATACAATTAAGCATTTAATGGTATGCTCTTTTCAATAATGTGTTTTTGCCAGATGGGCTTAATGTAGGAGCTAAAGAAAAAGAAAAAATATGTTATGATCACACAAGGGTCAATGTGGAAGAACAAGGTTTCTTTCTATTTCATATAGGGTATATCTGCTTAAGTACTCCAAGTGTATTCTTTTGATACAACATTTCCCAAGCACTCAATGCAATGCTTTGGCCCATCATGGGGGCCCATCAGAAATCTCATCATTCCTACCTCACTATATTAAGTGTAGTAATGACAATGGATTTAGGTCTGACTACATTGCAATTATCTGTATTCTTCATATTGATACCTTTGAATTCCTCTAGCATAAAGAAGAAGACTTACAAGCCTTGTGGAATTTAAAGAAATAGAGTCATTAATGCAGCAATAAAGTGAGTTCTGGAGTTATAAATATAAAGTGCTGTATCTTATCTGTATAAATCATGCGGAATTTGGTAATGTGTTCATAGAAACATTTCTTAAAATTGCATTTCCTATGATTTATGTTTGTAATTATTTTTATATGCTTGTCTTATAGTGTTAACCGTATCATTAACTGTCTGAAGACAAATGCCAGCAGCTGGGTATCACCTGTGCAAACACAGTTCAGAGCACACTGCATGCGCTTGATGAACATAGAAAAGGCAACAAAAATGACAGATTGGCATATACTACTATGCACCTAGTAAGCTTATGCTTCATCTAACCATCATCAAAATTTATTTGGCCAGTTGAATGATTTGTAAACCAATATTTATCTGACCAGTAATAATTTATAAAACTCAATGACCTATATAAGCTCTAAATCAATTCCAATAATAGTTTTATTCTTTACATGATAACTTTTGATAACATATAAATGATCAAAGGAATCATGGGCCAATGGTAGGAAAATACACATTATTTTGAAACAGAAATATATATTCAAACAAGTCACGGTTTTCATGAATTCTAAGCATTATTCATACCGATTTAAGATAAAACAAAGGCAAAGTTTACATGACATGAATGAGTGGATATTTTTGTCTAAAATTATAGCTCAATATTCTAACCAAAAACGTCTAATAAAAACATACAAATAAATATCAGGATGGCTATGCTTAGCCACTTTGAAGACAATGGTACCTAAGTGCAGCCATGGTGTTTTCCATTACTGGAAGTTGGTTATTGAATAGGGAAGACCTTAGAAGAATCGATGTCTTTGAATGCTGGTGTTGGTGAAAACTATTTAATATGCTGTGGACTGTCAGAAGAGCCAACAAATCTGTCTTGGAAGAAGTACAGCCAGAAAGCTTCTTCCTTGAATCAGGGATTGTGAGATTGTGTCTCATATACTTTGGGCATACGGTCAGGAAGGAGTAGCCCATAGAGGAACATCATGTTGGTAAGGTAGGAGGTTAGTGAAAAAAGCCATCCATGAGATGGACTGACACAGGGGCTACGGACGTGGGCTCAAACATCACAACAATGGTGAGGATGGTACAAGGCAGTGTTTCACTCTGTTGTGTCTCTTTGTGGGTGGCTACGAATTGGAACCAACGCTAGGGCACCTCACAACAACTCTCAGCTCATTCAAATCAAATAGTCAAGAAACGACCCCCATCTCTTAGCCTCACCCATTGGTGACTTGAACCACAGCTTACTGTCCTTCTCATCACGACCACTGCCGTCAGCATCCTATCATTATTGCCACCATTCAAGTTGGAAGTAAGCTATATGCTCCTCCTCAGCTTTTCATTGTTTATTTCCAAGAATCATAGCCTAAGTGTTAGCATTACCTGTCATTCCAAATCCTTCATTTTAAGTATGCCCTGTTGATGCCAGAATTTTATTTAAAACCCAACATCAAAAAATCTTCATATACACTCTGATCACAAATCTATTGCCCCTACCAATTTATTTTGTCTTTTATAGTCTTCCATTATTTATTCAATGCCAACTCAATTGGCATTACAACTGTCATTTCAATTATTAGATTTCATCCTTCAACCCCCTCTTAGCTCAAATCCCTTTCTCCTTCGTAATCTCAGCCAAGTTCTACTCTCCAGACTCCAAATATGTTTCGACTCAAGTAAGTAGACTGTCCTGATGGCTTAGGTACCAGCCTACCTGAATCGTTGCCTTCACGTCTGTACTAATCAATATGTTGTCTTTGTGCACTAGACCTCTGTGATACTCAACCACTTACCAGTTTTCCTCTGAAGATTATTCTCTTTCCATCAGGCCCCATCAGATTATCATTCTCTCCTATAATGTCTCCCATCATTAAATAAATAAAGCCTTGGGCCTTCTCAGACCTTTAACCATACACTGCTCTTGGCTTCTCTTTATAATCATGCCTATCAATATAGCTTCTCAATTTTTTATCTACATGATCTGACTGCTGCAGGCATATGTCCCCCTCACTCCTCTCCTCCTCTTATGGTGAAGGGCATGCACTGATAGAGAGTTTATAGGAAGCAGTATCTTTCTCTTAACAACCCATAAAAGGAAGGACTTCATAAATGGTGGATTGAGACAGATGTTGTGTCTGGAATACAGAAAACTACCTAAAAACAGAATATAAATCATGGCTCTGCTGATTGGTAGTAAGGTTACCAGTTAAAGAATTAGTCAACATGGAAATTTGGAATACAGGAAAAGACTTTTTCATTGAGAGATATATGGCTGCTAAAATCAAGAAGTCAGCCATAAAATACTTGCATCATAAAGTGTGCTACATGTAACGCAAATCACTTGTTTGGCATGACTTGAGCTTCATCCTGTGGTTATGAACTAGAATTCCCTTCTTGGAGATGTTAACTACCTGTCTGAAGGACTGTGGTCTAAGTCTAGTTAACAACTTCCAGTGAACTGTTTCAGCCTGTATTTTCTTTACCTTTACATTTCCTTAATCACAATTCTTTGTCATTTCATACAAGGTGTTCTATATGTTTAATGCATGGATAACCAGATAATCTCAAGGTGGTCAACTCAAAATAATTGTCCATCACGACAAATAATAGATGGCCCTCCTCCAGAACTAACTTCCCAGGAGACAGGCTGGACTGAGTAGTACAAATATGACCCCCATCAACTTCTGTTCTTGAACTTTCATAGCATAATGATAACAATTTATAATCCTGGAAAGCGGATTTTCCTAACCAACTTCATAGGAAAAGGCCAGCTATTACCATGGGAGCAGCTTCATAAATGTAGAATGCATGTAATAAAGAATCATAGATGACACTTATTTTCTAAATAACAGTTTCTTCATCTAGCCACATATATACTTTACATATACATTTTTATATTTCAACTGAGCTTTAACTTCAAAGATAGTATTCCATACCTGAGAAAAGAGACACCAATCATTCAGTGAAGGAAGAGGTTGGTTGATGGCAGGAACCATCCACAGAAAGTTCATGAAACTCCCTGCTTATTGTGTGCTGCTTTGATGCGAGCAGACACCAGGACAACTCAATCCCCAAGCATCACCACTGGGCAATTCAAGGGGTCCTACCACTAGCTAGTCTCACCTTGATGCCCCATATTCATTTTCTACCACCAAGAATCTCACCTCTGCAGCTCAAAAGTGATCCGTGATCAGTTCTCATCAAGGACCCCATGAAGCCACCTCATCCTGAAACCTTGTCATGGTCATTTGTGGCTGGGCAAGACTTCCCATCTCACCCGAATAAAGAATTCCCAGGCCAAAGCCCAACTACAACAAAACAGTAGGGAGGATGTGAAATGAACTTTACTTTTCCATTACCCCTTTGAGATACTCCAAAAGTTCTCTCTGATGGGTTTTTGAGAGCAGGCCGATCAACGAGGAAGGGTACACTACTCCTCAGCCAGATTTTCCTATAAATGTTCTAAATCAGACCATCCATCCAATTTAACGCTTTTCTATCCACCCACTTCACTGATTCAGTGCACACTTTCAACTGATAAGCCTATTCCTGCCTGTGGGATCTTCCCTCAGCCACTCTCTTGATAGTGTGGCCATACTGGTTGAATCATGTTCCTGCTTAGATCTGTCTCCATGTATAAAACCAAACCAGTTTCTTCCAGCATTCCTTGTTCTCACTGAATAGCTGGCCACACATGCCCATCTGTGACGAACGGCTCTGTTAAATGTAGGTAAGTGATATCACTTTGGCCCACCTCCCTTGTGAACTTCAACATCACCAAATCACATGTGTGTCACACAGCATACTGTTACTTTTGTAATCATATACTGATTTCTATTCTAGTCCATGCCTGGACGACATGAAAAAAAGACCCGAGTTGCCCGCTTTCCTACAGTTATTCAGTCCCCGTTTCTTCTACAATGCACACTTCTTATGAAACCATCTATTTCAAACCAAAGACATCACATAATTTACTCATCCATTTTTTATGACTAAGGAACTTTGGAAGGTAATCATTCAGATATTTATTGGTTCTCCAGGGACACTTTTGGGATATATTCTCCCAGGACCAGCTTAGGAAAACTGGGAAGGCCAATGTGCCCTGGCCTAACATGTATCCCTCTGCAAGTACACACACATGCTTATTTCTCAGTCTCCTGGACATATTATTGGGAAAGTTCTCCAGACATTTTATTTTCAAAAGACTGATTGTCAGTCAATTATTATTATTATTCTATCACACGAATGATATAAATGCCAGATCCTGCAAGAAATTGCCAAACATTTACCCAACAAGCATGCTGAGTCTCTGGTGCCATTGTTTCCTCATTTGGTTTGGTTTCCTCTCTATGGAAGCTGTCCACGACATGAAGGCAAAGACAGAGCTACAGCAATGATATTCCTACTTGACTATGAGTTCGAGAGTGAATTCCAACACTCTCACAAATCACGGTTTCCATTCCCACACAATGTAATCTGCAGCATCCACCTAGGGAAATCCAGCTTACAATCCACTCGCACGTCGGTAACAAGATTAGAAAGTTTCTACCTGCTCTTTGACTGACGCAAGGATGGCAGAAGTGGTTTCTGTTTCGGAACCATCCCCATTGGAGGTGTTTAAGCCGGGGCTCAGGGAGCTGGTCTTCTCTGATGCTGATGAAGGCTGGTCCGGGACAGGCATAGCTCCTGCAACACAAAGGGCACAGGCTCAGTATGGGAAGTCTCAGAGGGCATCACTGGAAGCATGCATGCCGACAAGGGGATTCTAAAGTATGCTTTGTGGGGAGAGGGGAATATGTATAAAATGGAAGGTAGAGGGAGAACATGACATAACTGAAAATGGGAGAAGCAATAGCAAGCAAAGAAGAGGCTTTTCCTGGTATTAAAGCTAGTTGCCATTGAGTCAATTCTGAGTTATGGGCACCTCATGTGTGCCCCAGTAGACTGTGCCCCATAGGATTTTTATTGACTGCTTTTCTGGAAGTCGATCATCACGCTTTTCTTCCAAGGTGCTTCCGGGTGATGTGAAGCCCCAGACTTTGGTTAGCTACCAGCCTCGCTTATCTGTACACCCCAACAGTCTCCCTTTCTGGAATTGATAGCCGCTAATTTCCACAAGACATTCATAAAGTAGTGCTCTATCTTTGAGGTATGATGGGAAGTCTTGATTAAGAATGAAGGTACAAAACAAAAAAAAAAGAATGAAGGTACAAGTTGGATGGATAGAAAAAGAGAGATGCGGGTCCAACTAGGATTTTATATCTGCCTCAGGTAAGTATAGCCTTGGCACATTGGGATATTTCACTTCAAATTAAAACCTGTTGGATAATCCTTTTTGTAAAGATGTCACTCAAAATGATAACAAATTTATTAATAATTTTTAAATGCTTTAATCACCACACCACATTTAGGATTATGAAATACATTAGATCATTTGTGCACTACACAAACAATGGCCAAGACCCAACCATCTGACCAATAATTACTCAAAGCTGGTGAGATCCTCTGCTGAAGTTTCTTTTTTTGGGTTTACTTATGACATAAAGCCCCAGTTCACAAAGGAATATAGAAAAAGATCAGAAGAAGGAAAAGATATGATGTTCAATAGGTACTGAGGTAGTTAGTTTATTGTGCCAACCTGGCTGATAAACACATGTGGGGTTAATTGAAGGGTGGAGGGATAAATGACTCAGTGAGCCTTGCCTTTCTAGTTCTCGGGTCTCTTGCTTTCTGATGGCCGCACCAGGGTGCAGCTGCCTTAGCAGTTCCCTGCTTCAGCTTGCAAGGCTGACTTCCTGCAAGGCATCCCCAAGGAGAAGTCAAATGGACCTACCCTGATGCAGCCCTGGGTGCAGGAGCAGCCATGTGGAGACCCCTGCCAGCGCTGAGATGTTTACACATTCCCTGACTAGGCTTTCCTCTTGCAGTCGGCATCATTGCGTCTGTTTTGTGAGATGGAGGAGGACTTTGTGGGCTGGTGTTGGACATATGGGTTAATGGGTTAATGTTGGACTCGTGGGCTTGGGCAACACTGGGTTTGTATGTTTTCTTGATGTGCACTTAACCTTTATATAAAACTCTCTTATACATGAGTTTCTGTGGATTTGTTTCTCTAAAGTCCAGGCTAATACAGGTATTTTGTTCTTAATGTACTCCACTGTCTCATGCAAATAGATGAGACGGAAATATTTATTATATCTGGCAATGATTGCCAGCAAAAGCAATACATTAACTAATGGAAGGAAGATTTACAAAGTCACTATAAAAATACCATTCAAACACAATACTAGAATCAATAAAGTTTGCTTGGAGCCTAACACTATTACATCATATCCAAAACCAGAAATAGTGTTGTATGAATATTAAAAGGTATTTCCTGCTACAATGTATCCAATCATTCTGGGTTTCCCACCAAAGAATATAGCTTTTATAGCAACCTCTGCCCTGTGCTATTAGCCACATTCTGTGTTTTTGCACAAACTGTGGTCGTTTCTATGTTTGTCTTTCAACCACACCCTCCCTCCAAGAGGTATTTTCCTAGCACTCATGTAAAATAAGGTTATTTCCACAGCAACACTTAGGAATAGAACTCTTCTGGAGAAGGAATGGCTAGCAAACAAATATAGAAAAGACACATTATTTGTGTAAAATATAGTACATAATAATTTCAGGATACACCAATAATGGGCCATTGGTCATTCTAACTTAGTTTTCACTTTCAGAAGTAAATTACTAACATTGTTGTCAATGGTAATAGAATAACTCACTGCCATTGATTTGATGCAATGCTGACTTATCGTGACCGTACAGGACAGGATTGAACTGCCCTGTGGCTTTCCAAGGATTCCTGGTGGTATAATGGTTATGCATTGGGTTGTGCTTCTTGGAAGAAAGATGGGGTTTCTACCCCCAAAAAGAAGTATTAGAATAGCATTTGAAAACTATCTTACACATCTGTAAAGCATGCGGGAGTTTGGATGAAATGAACCGATCAAAATTTGAGCAAAAATGAAGCATCAATGATTTGACAAAAGGCATGTCAGTGTGTTTTCCTGTGGAGGCTCGGGTGTTGATGGGATGCTGGAAGCGATGTCACCACTATTTAAAATACCAGTTTAAGCAGAATTTTCAGATGAGATTAAGACACACTAGGAAGAAGGGTCTGGCTACCTGCTTTTCTTAAGGAAAAAAAAAGGCCTCTGAAAACTATATGAATAGCAGTGGAACATGGTCAAATCCCCTGTTCAAAGATGAGTTGCTCAGCTTGGAAGACACCCAGCTCACAAGTCAAGAAGAGCTACCTCCTCCAGGGAGAGCCAGTCTTCATGACACGGACAGAACAAATCATTCAGGACTTTCATTGGCTGATGGGACACGACTCAAAACGAGCAGCAAAAATATCAACGAATAATCAGAATGTGGGATGTGCGCTGTATGCATTTAGAATCATTGGGAGTCAAATGAAGTAGAATACATAAAAGTGCCTGTCCTAGGCTGAAGTGAACTCTATTGGCCAATTGGAATCCAACAAGGACATGGTCTACTATGCCAGAAATGACATCGAGAAAAAGAATGGTGCCACATGCATCCTCAATAAAAGACATTTCCAGATCTATCTTGAAGCAAACCACTGGCCCTGATAGGGTAATATCTAGACATAGATCAAAAATAATCTTCATAATTAGGACAGTGAGCAACATCATGATAGACATAGAAAAAACTAGAAGGGTTTCATTTTAGTTGGGTGCACAATCAATGCCCATGGAAGCATTAATCAAGAACTCAAATACTGAATTATATCAGACAAACCTGAGGCCAAAGAACTCTTTAAAGTGTTCAAAGACAAAAGTGTCATGCTGAGGACTGAAGTGTGCTTGACCTAAGCCACAGTGTGTTGAATCTCCTCATGTCCATGCCAAAGGTGGACGATGAATAAGAAAGACGAAGGAGCAATTCGACATTGGAATTATGGTGTTTGTGAAGAACATCGAGGATACCCTCTACTGCCGGAAGAACCAATACATTTGTTCTGGACGAAATTGAGCCAGAACCCTTCTCTGAAAGGAGGATGATCATGATCAAATTCCAATTCACACGAGGGACCAGTCCCTGGAGAAAGATATCATGTTTGGTAGAGAGTCAACAAAAAAAGAGGAAGGCCCTCAATGAGATGGACTGAAATTGTGGCTGCAACAAAGGGTTCAAACCCAGTAATGATAAGGAAGATAGCGCAGGACCAGGCAGTGTTTTGTTCAGTTGCACAGAGGGTCCATATAAGCCAGACCCAATGTGACAGCAACCACCACCACCAGCACCACCACCAGCACCACCACCACCACCACCACTACCATCACCACTACCACCACCA